GAAGAAGGTAGATTTGAATGTCCTTCAGCAGGTTCTATAATATTATCTTGAGAAAAGTCTGCTTTGGTTTTATGTAGCTGGCTAGTATTACGTCGGTAAACATGACCATCAGTGGATTTGACAATGATTTGCCTTGGGTTATCACCCTGTCCAATGACTTCTGCACCTTTCCATTGACGATGATCTACACGGAGTCGTACTTTATCTCCTCGTTCAAGTTCGGAAGGCTTTTTTGCATGATAATCTGCGTAATTCTTCTGTTTTTGCCGTTGTTTTGTCAATTCTTCAGTCACGTTCTCTATAACTTTAGGTCTCAAAAGTGTTTCAGTCATCGGGATCAGACTTCGTGTAATTCTACTAAAAAGTCGCTGATTTGGAGATCCCAGATTACTTCGAGGGGTGTTTCGATAGTTCATGAAAGCTAGTTGAACATCAGACTGATCTAAATAGCACTTTCTCAAAATGTTTTTCGAAATTTGCACGCCTCTTTCAGCTAAACCATTTCCTCTTGGGTGGTAAGGGCTACTAGTACAATGTTGAAATGACCATTGCGTGGCAAAATCTCTGAATTCTCTCGAAAAATATTGTGGTCCGTTGTCTGTTTCCAATATCTGAGGAATGCCATGGACAGAGAACCAATTTTTCAGATAGTTGATTGTCTCCATCGAGGTCAACGATTTGAGAGGTTTGAAGTCCACAAACCCGGAGTAACTGTCATATATATTCAGATAGTTTTTCTCCTTGAATGTAAATATATCTGAACTCACTATTTGCCAAGGTAGATCTGGAACTTTTTTTGAACATATTGTCTCTTTATAATTTGCACGCTGGGATGTTTCGCAAACTTTGCATTGCTTTATGAAGTTTTCAATATCTGTGTTCATACCTCTCCAATACAATATTTGCCTAGCACGGTTCAGACAGCTTTGAATTCCTAGGTGTCCTCTATGAATGTTTGTCAACATTTTTGGGATCAATGATTTTGGAACAACTATTTTCTCGCCCTTGAATATCAATCCTTCATATTCAGCTAGTTCTTCTCGAAAACATAAGTAATGTCTGATACAATCAGGAATTTTTCTTACCCTCAAAGGAAAACCATTCAGAATGAATGTTTTCAGGTTTTCGAGTTCTTCATCTTCTCTAGTGGCCTGAATCAGTTCCTGTTTCACTTGGGAAGAAACTGTTAAAATGATCTGAACTTCAAGTTCATCATCTTCATTGGTTTCAGTACCGCTATCAGTACAATCTCGACTCAATATATCTGCTAATGGTATATCTTTACCTTGTTTGTAAATTACCTTAGGAGAATATTGCAAAACGTCGAATATTATCCTTTGTAATCTAGCAGGAGCGGATTGTAATGGTTTGGTGAAAATCGATTCAAGTGGCTTATGGTCACTTTCGATGGTGAGTTTTTTGCCATAAATATATTCATGGAATTTCTGGCACCCAAATCTTATTGCAAAAGCTTCCTTTTCGATTTGTGGCCAATTAACTTGAGATTTGGTTAAAGCTTTTGTAGCATATGCTATAGGTTGACCACCTTGTAGAAGCGCTGCGCCTAGACTTTTAGAACTGGCATCCACTGACAAGGTGACGTCCTGGTTTACGTCATAAAATTTCAATAATGGTGGAGACGCTAAATGTTGCTTCAATTTGATAAAAGCTTCATTTTGCTCGTGATCCCAATGAAATTCTATGTTTTTTTTCAGCAATATACGTAAAGGTTCTGTGAGTTGTGATAGATTTGGGATAAATTTATTCAAATAAGTTATCATACCCAATAATCTTTGTAATTCCGTTTTATTTGTTGGAATCTTCAAATTATTTATAGCCTCTACTTTATGTGGATCTATCGATATGCCTTTCCCTGAAAGAATATGTCCCAAAAAAGCAATTTTCTTAGCTTCGAATACACATTTTTCTTTATTGAGCTTCAATCCTGCATTTTTCAGTGCTTCGATAACTTTTTGAGTGACGTGTCTAAGTTTTTCTTGAGATTCAGCATAAATCAATATATCATCCATAGAGCATTGCGTATTCGGTATACCTTTTAGGAGAGAACACATCACTTCTTGGAAGACTTCTGGCGCTGAGCATATACCAAATGGAACTCGCGTACAGGAAAAGCGTCCCCATGGAGTTGAAAATGTAAGGTACTTCTGAGTGCGTTCTGTTACTGGTATCTGCCAGAATCCTCGTCTGCAATCTAGGAGAGTGAAGTATTTCGCCCCATTGATTTGTGCTGAAATTTCCTCCAAAGTTTTCAATGGATAATGTCGCCTCAATATATTTTTATTCAGGTCGGTAGGATCGAGACATATCCTGATTTTACCTTTCTGACGAACAATAACCAAAGGACTAACCGCAGGAGTTGGCTCTTTAACTGGCTTGATGACACCTAATTTGACCATTTTATCCAATTCTTCTTTGACTTCACCTCGTATGGAATAAGGTATTCTTCTAGGAGGATGAATTTTGAATTGAGGATTATCGATGAAATCTATATCATAGGCATAATTTTTATGACATCCTAATCCTTGGAAAACATCGTCAGTGTTGCATTTTTTTAATTCTTGCACTCGCACAATGAGACCTAATTCATGACAGGTTTTGCGGCCGAGAATCGGAGGTACATCTTCTTCGACTATTTTGAAAATTATGTCAGCTTCTTGATTTTTCACTTGACATCTTATTATCGATTCCCCAATGACAGAAATTCTATTTTCGGTGAAACTGATCAATCGTTTGGTACTTGATGGGTTGATTTCTGCATTGATATGATCGACTATATATTTGGGAAGAACATTGCACTGTGCTCCAGTGTCTAACTTCACTTGAAATCTCTTATTATTTGCCTTGATAATCTCGTGCCAGTCTTCATTATCATTATCAGCAACGGTTCTAATGTATAGGATTTCATCCTCTTCTATATCTTCTTCTACCTCATCATTCAAAGTATAAACTTTTTTCTTATTCCTATTCTTGTTCTTGGACCAACATTGTATAGGGAAATGACCTTTTGTTTGACAAACTTCACATTTATGACCAAACGCTGGACATTTCTTTCTTTGATGAGTAGTGCCGCATCTCTTGCATTTGAATGTTTCTTCAGTCTTCGATTCATTCGACTTATATTTCACGAAATTAATTTGGCTTGATTCAGGTTTATGTATCTCTTTCAACTGCTTCGTTGTTTGTTCACTTGATCGACAAATCATTATTGCTCTCTGGAGTTTCAAATTTTCTTCGATTAGTAGTCTTTCCCGTACTAGATCAGATTTTACACCAAAAATTATCTTGTCTTTGAGTAAACTGTCTTGCAGGTTCCCAAAATCACAGCTCTTGACCTGAATTTTGATTTTTGTCAAAAACTCATCGAAAGGTTCATCCTCTAGTTGAACAATCTTGAAAAATTGGTATCTCTCGAATGAAATGTTCGTTTTCGGGATGAAATATTCTTGAAATTTCAGTTTGATTATACTCAAGTCGTTCTGCTGTTCTATTGAGAGATTGAAAGTATTGAATATCTGGATAGCATCTGGACCAATAATCGCCATGAAAGTAGCTGCCTGCACTGCTTTAGGTTTTTTTGCTAATTGAGTCGCTATTGCGTACCACTCAAATTGCTGCATCCAGTTTTTCCAGGTATTAGCCATATTTTCAGTATTCAGAGTGATATATTTGGGTGGCCGAATGCCTGAAACTCCAGTTTCGTCTGGTAGTGGATCTGGCATTTTTCGTAGCAAACTGCCCTAATTCTCTCCTCTTACAAACTGAATGGATATATGTATCTACTATTCGCAAACTTCTGACACCATGTAACGTTATATTTGTGAGAATTATAATACACGTTTTATGACAATATATTTATAAATTGTGAAGTCTATTACTGACAGTAGCAGTATCCTAGACACTAACGACAGGTAAATGTTAATATACCTGATGATAATGTTACAGTAGTAACTCACACGTATATTTGAATCCTCCTTATAAATGTTGGTACCTAAAAATGGAAATCGATCAATTATAGGAGATTCCTCAGAAAAGAAAAGTATATATGGCTATGAATGGATTTATTCACTAGTTCACAAGAGCACTCGATATAATGGACACACTGTATACAAACCCTATGTGTAATATATTTATGAATTCAGAAGTTCGTGGATATTTTAAAATTGGATAATACATAGGATGTTCTATTTGAAAAAATTACCTTGGATGTTTTAACCCAAACGTATATCACCGTGTATATCAGATTTCCATTCATGAATAAAGCAAATCGAATATAAAAATCGTCCTATCTCAGGAAATTTCTCAGAAATTGATAGTTTTCCTGAAAATTCATTAATTCAGATTACATCTCGCCGACGCTCGCTACATAATTTTAGATAAACGATACTGTCATAATTATAGGGATGCGAAGGTAGTAGTTACAAAATGTTAAGGTGTGTGGTATATTATTATGTTTCGTCGATTCTTTATAGGTCATTTTGCGGCGTCGTTATGACGTCTAAATATGACGTCTTATGTCTGTGACATCTTGACGTCAAAATAGGGCCCCTCAGACGTCATTCTAGGACGTCCACTTTGTCATTTCATGATTAAAAAAATGACGTCAATTGGACGTTACTCTGCTACCTGGGTATCTACCTATACCACCGAAAGTTGCATGGAACATTATATGACGATGATATCAGGATTCAGTGAACACAGAGTGTAAACTGAAAGAAATCGACATTTCACTCGGCCTCTGGCGGTATCACAAAATAGATTATACTTGTGAGATTTATATGCATTATAATAAAATTTACATATTTCATTTAGCGCATGCTTTTTGTTATGCAAGAGATATAATATATAATATATATACATATTAGTATTGGAAAATGTGATAAAAATATTCTGGGAACAGGTAACACCATTATTGACTAAACAAGAGTGCATTCACCATGGTATCCTACTCATCTAGCACAATATTGTGTACCTAAATAGTTTTGGTGTTCTCCATGACAACTCTATTTTGTCAGATCAATATTTGGGTTCATTTTTCAAATACTCTTGTGGAAAATGCGTGTAACGTTTTGTACCGATTTGGATAAAAGTGTTGTTGTTGCAAATTGTGAGAAGCGAGGTTGGATCCAAGTAGGACCTGACGATGAGTGGCATATCTATTGGGCTGGAACTCTTACTTGCCGCAGTTTATTCAGTGTCGATAGTGGATATCGAATGAATGATAATCAGTGAGTTGAATATGCGTGTATATATTATGCGAATCCTACTTATATGCTGCGGACGATCTAGTTCTAGCAACCACATTAGTATATTAGTATTGCATACTTATATGGATTCACTTCATCAAACGATATAAGTCCTGCTACTGGGCGAAACTCTTCACTGATACATTTTTCCATGAAATCGTGTGGACTGTGAGTGCTAGGTAGGATTACTTACGTATAAAGATGTAGGCGAGGCCAGAGGAGACGAGAGACAGCACTATTCCCGTTTCGCCTAGCGGTCAAGCTGATCTACATAAAGATACCAGTATTCTAGCAGAGTGACGTCCAAATGACGTCATTTATTGGTCATAAAATGACGAAGTGAACGTCTTGCAATGACGTCTGAGACCCTATAATGACGTCAAGATGTCACAGCTATAAGACGTCATATTCAGACGTCATAATGATGTCGCAGAATGACCTATGAAGGACGAAATAAAAAAAATTGAGGTTCATATACGGTATTATAGGTACATAATGATACACCACAAACCTTCGAAGAAGTTCATCTGAAACTATGCGTTGTCTGACTTGGTCGATGGTGCTCCCGCCCAGATAGCACAAATTCCTTTTCAGGCCCTTCTGAGGCGTTCACAATCATGTCCTCAGGACGTCGAGAGCGAGCCTGAGGACATTCTCAAGACGTCCTCCTGTTACCATTCTCTACATACTAATAACGTCTCAGAACATCCCTATAAAATCTTTTGAGACATCCTCAGGACATCATGGTAACAACTTGAGGCGGTTTTTGATGTTGTTTCAAGGAGGTTCAAGATTTATGGGAGAATATTATTCGTATACAGAATGAGTCACTATAGTGTGTTCTCCTCCGATATTAGCCAAACCGTCAGATATATAAAATGAAAATTCAAGTACAACAGTAATAGGGTTTCATAAGAACAATCACCTAAAGTTGTTTTCATATCTATAGGGTGTTCGAATTCCAAGATATCGGTTGATGATTGGTTTTTTTTCAATGGAACACCTTGTATATTATTGCATTTTTGAGTTTTCCCTGAAGAGTTGATTCCATCAATGCATCACACTTGGTGTCTAGTGGGAATTATTACAGAGATATAGGGTGTTGACAATTGAGATTCTTCAAATGTAGGATTTTTTGTGTCGAAGCTATTCATTAATGGTCAAAACGGCTCACATGTTCCTGTCATAACTTTTGATTAGCAATCTACTGATATTTATTTGGAACAGATACAATAAGCTGATCAGTATTCTGAATGTTAACCCACCCTCTATTTGTTCCGATTGAATGTCAGTAGATAGTAAATCGAAAGTTTATAAGGATATGTGAGCCGTTTTGACCAATATTGGATAGTTTCCACACAAAAAAATCCTAAAATTGAAAAATCTTGTTTTTGAACACCCTATATCTCTGTAATCATTCCCGCTAGACCCCATCAAGTGTGATGCATTGATGGAATCAGCTCTTCAGGGAGAACCTAAAAATGCAATAGTATACAGGGTGTCCCATTTGGAAAAAAACAATCATCAGTCAATATATCTTGGAATTCGAACACCCTACACAGATATATATGAAAACAATTCAATGTGAAAGTTCTCATGAAACCCTATTCCTGTTGTACTTGAATTTTCTCTATTTATCTGAGGGTTTGGCTAATATACAATAAGGATAACACACTATTGACTCACCTTGTATTATGCAAATGATAATTTCTTCAAAATAATATGGATCTCATGATATTTGCAAAATTTTCCTCTATTTATAATAGGTTCAAATGAAAAACCAAATGAAAAACTTACATTCTATTATTTATAACTTATTCTGAAAAATTTCAATTTCCTTTGAGCACTACTAGAAGTTATTGCCCATTGATAGTTATATTTCTTCATGTTGTTTTGGATTTCTGAACTCTGGACATTCCTGATGCAGAATAATCAACTGGAAGTTGAAGCCTTCATGCAATATTTTATAGATTCTGAAGAAGCAAAACTATCTTGGAATGAAAATATCATCAGGTTTGTGTTTTGCATAACCTTCTGAAACAAACAATGTATTAATATTTCATGTCCAGTACTTACTATCAATGATATGATTTATGTAGTTATAGGTACCAACCATTATTGAATCTACTGAAAGTTCAAATCTGCATATGTACAATCTTTCATAATTTCCAAATAAGCCAAAATATCTTGGAATAAAATATCTCTGCTCTGATGATATCATCATTTTGTGTTATCAATAACCTCCTGAAACAAATAATGTACCTATTAATATTTCATGTTCCAGTCCCTACTATATTAATGATTTGATTTAGGTACCTACCTTTATTGAATATACTGAAAGTGCAAACATGCATACGCAATCTCACATAGATTTCGAAGAAGCCAAAATATCTTGGAACGAAACATCTCTGCTCTGATGACATCATCAATCTTGTGTTCTCAATATCTTCATCTGAAACAAATAATTAACCTATTAACATTTCATGTCCAGTACCTACTATATCAATGATTTGATTCAGGTACATACCTTTATTGAATTCATACTGAAAGTTCAAGCTTCCATACAATATTTTAAAGATTCCGAAGAAGCAAAGCTATCTTGGAATAAATCATGTTTGCTATGATGATATCATCAAGTTTGTGTTCTCAATCACCTCCTGAAACAATAAATAATGTATCAATCAATATTTCATGTCCGGTACTATCAATGATTCTATTTAGTATTTACTCACCATTGTTTCTTGCTAGGTACCTGAGAGAAATGTCATCAACAGAGATTATCATCCTTTTGTTATTGTTATCTTTTAATTCTGTGCAATAAGTTCTTCTCGCAATCATTTTGTGAAATAGAAATTTGATGAAGGTATTCAATGAATACTCTAATAATTTTGATATAATCATTAATATATTATGATGTATCTTGAACAAATCATGACTATCATGAGACATAACCTCAATTCTAGGTCTTCTTTTTCTTCCTTTTGTCTTCGATGACACGTTATTTCATGGAATGTCATTTGAAGACGTCCGTAGGCACGAAATTCTTTACATCCTCAGGCTGTCACTGAAAGAACTCATTTAGGACAATTACAGCGCTAAATTTACGCCTGATGATGTTCTTAGGTTGTAGAAAATAGAACGTCCTCTCCAGGCGTTTGGCGACACATTGAGGATGACCTTAGGCGAATGTGTGCTATCTGGGCGGGCGCATATTCATATGTTACCGACACAACTAGCCACTTCGGAAAGCCGAACGATTTCATTCAAGTTACAGACGTAACTTATGGATTCCGTCGGTAACTTATTTATTAATATAGTTTTTTCTGCGAATTTGAGGAAGGTAAATATCCTTCCTGCACAAGACCTAACTCGACCGAAAGAACCTTTATTTACCTTCCTCAAATTCGCAGAAAAAACTATATTAATAAATACATAATAAAATGTACAGCGTTGCTTCATCTAGGCATAAGTTACCGACGGAATCCATAAGTTACGTCTGTAACTTAAATGAAATCGTTCGGCTTTCCGAAGTGGCTAGTTGTGTCTGTAACATATGAATATGCCTCCCGGGCGGCCTGTTCAATCCTAGCGCTATCAAATACTGCCTACGCATCTTCATACGACAATATCGTTAGCTACTCATATTTGAACCTGAAATTATGTAGCGAGCGTCGGCGAGATGTAAGCTAATAAATTAATTTTTAGCCAATCTATCCATTTCTGGGAAAACTCCTGGAACAGGTCGATTTTTATTTTCAATTTGCAACTCATAAGAAAAATCAGATATACAGGGTGTTCCACGTTTGAGTTGAGACGTTCGCGGCAATTTTTTTTGATAGAAAACTCTATATATGTATATATATCATTAATTTTTCTGAAAATCAATGAAAATCTGAATTCAAAAATATATTCCACACTGGGTTAGTATACAGTCATATTATTCCTTTCTGATGAGGAATCTCCTGAAACAGGTCGATTTTCATTTTCAATCACCTACGTTTATAAGGAAAACTAGAATATACAGGGTAATTTACGTTTGAGTTACGACGTCCGCGACAATTTTTTTAAGGAACACTATGAATCATCCAATTTTTGAAATCTCAATGGAAAGATGGATTCGAAAATATATGACACATAGAGTTTGTATACAGTGCGTTTGTTGAATTGAGTACTTCCGTGAAAGTTTTGGATGAATTCCTTCTAAATTGGTAGGATAATTTTTCAAAAGAATGCTCGAAGCAGTAAAATTTCATTCTCTTTTGAGATCTTTTTCAAATTCAATGAATACATACATATTGATTCGTGTAGGAGAAACTACGTCATCGGTTTTTTTTTTTTTCAATGGCGACCCCATTTTACGAGAGCACTGAATCTACGGGACCCCATGTTGTGATATAATTCTGGTTTCAGCTCCTCATAGAGATCACATACATTCAATAAACATCAATTGAAATTGTGTAGACGACCTTGTGTTCTGATCCCTAGTAAAATACATAGGTGTTCCGTTAGAAAAATGTGTCGCGGACATCATAATTCAAAAGTATATCATCTTGTATATTCGATTTCTCCTAAAAAATTATCCTGCTTCAGAAGATTTCTCAGAAATGAATAATATGGATGAGAATGGATTATTTATTCAAACAGGATGTTGAATATATTTCTAAGAATTCCGAAAAAATTGTCAACCCAGAAGAGATTTGCGAGGAATTCAATGAGTACTTTGTAAATGTTGGACTGAATTTAGCTGCGAAAATCAAATCATGCTCCAAATTTGAGAATAACAGAACAAGTGATGCATCGATGTACTTGAGACCAACAGACAAACAGGAAATTGAAGACATCATCAATACCCTAAATACAAGAAAATCTCCAAGATTTGATCAAATTTCGGTTTATGTAATTAAGACAGTGAAATCAGAATCATCTTCAATACTCACCAAATTAATCAATTTATCATTTACGTCAGAAGATGTACCATATAA